GAACAAAAGCAGTGTTCTTCGAACATAAGCCGGATGCGTTAGAACAAAACGGTCCCAGCCAGAAAGGTTATGTAAGGACATGTCCCGCAAAGACCACACGAGAGGTTGTTCTTAGAGCATTATTTGGTGGGCCTCTAGGCCAGCCGGGACGCCTCGCCACTGCTCGAGGGCTGGGGGCGTCCCCTCGACTTGCCTCTCCTGTTTTTTTTTGAACCCTTCCCACACAGTCATGCTTTCCTGTTTTTCAGAACCCTTCCCCGCACAGTCATCGTGCTGCCAGAAGGAGCGCATAGCGAGGAACGAATAGGGGGCTTCTTCTGGCCACGGTATGTTTTCCTGTTTTTCAAAGCCCTTCCCGCACACTCATGTTTTCCTGTTCTTCGAAACCCTTCCCACACCGTCATCGTGCTACCAGAAGGAGCTCATAACGAGGCACGAATAGGGGGCTTCTGTCTGGCCACGGCGGGCCTGGGCCGCGAACGGATCCCACCGCACAACTCCGCGGGGGGCGGCCCGAGAAGCGCCGAGAGCCCCGCCGGAGCCCACAAAACGCGGTGTTTCCGGCGTCTTGCCTGCACTCCAGGAGTGCCGCTCCTGATCCTGCCTCGTCCTCCTTCCAGCGTCTGGACTGCACTCCAGGAGTGCATTCCAGGAGGAGGAGGGGGCGGAGGAGGAGAAGGAGGAGGACGAGGACGAGGACGAGGACGAGGACGAGGAGGAGGAGGAGGAGGAGGAGGAGGATGAGGATGAGAGGGAGGGAGGAGGAGGGAAGGGAGGAGGAAGGAGGGGGGGAGGAGGCGGAGGAGGAGAAGGAGGAGGACGAGGCGGAGGAGGGGATCAGGAGTGCCACTCCTGATCCTGCCTCGTCCTCCTCTGGGCCCTCCTCCTGCACTCCTCTCCTGGCCATCGCACGGACGCCCACCCCCTGTGCCTCTTTCGGCCTCCTGCGTGGCTTTTGTCGCCAGACGGTCGAGGATGCTCCTCTCGAAGGTCCTCGCCGAGAAAAACAAAATGCACACGTCCGAGCGATGACAAGTTTACACGCCTCCTCCTCCTCCTCGCCCACCCCCTCCTCCTCCTCCTCCTCGTCCACCCCCCTACCTCCTCCTCCTCCTCCTCCTCCTCCTCCTCCTCCTCCTCCTCCTCCTCCTCCTCCTCCTCCTCCTCGCCCACCCCCCTCGCGCCCCGCACCTCGCGCCCGCTGGAGCGCCTGAGGGCCGCCGCCGGACCCGCCGACGAGGTGACACGAAGGCGTGCCCATCCCCTACTGAAGGGGCCCAAAGACACACAAATATATACACACACATAACATATCCACCATATTTTCCCATATTTTCTGGATTTTTGTTTTCCCCCCCCCAATTCCAATATTTTCCCATATTTTCTCGGAATTGCCGATTAATTGTGTCTGTGTGTTTCTTTCCCCCCTGACATATGCCATCTGCGAAGGCCCCGGTGCCCGGCCCTCGGCGAGAACACCCTGCGTGTGCGCCGCCGGGAGGTTGACTACCCAGACCTCCGACGCGTTGAAAAAATCAAGACGGAGGTTTTTCTCGATTTTAGACCTCTGGCGGCCCTCGCCGGGCCCTGGGAGCGTCAAAAAACGACTCAGGAAGAAAAGCCGGTCCTGGGGAAGGGGCCGAGACTTCCGGGGACCCCGTATTGAAAAAATCACGACGTCGGATCTCTGGGTAGGGGGCTGTCGGCGCACGATCCGTTGGCGTCTGCATCCGTCGCCTCCGCCTCCCCCGCGCGAGCAAAGGCCTGGAAGTCCAGGGCCTCGAGGCAGGGTCTGGAACCCCGTCAAGACTCTGGAAGAACGCAGGCGGGCCCAGGCATGAACCTTCGGGAGTCCGCGCGGGCCTCCGAAAGCCGAAAGTCCGCGCTCGTGCAATTCTCCTCCCTCTAGACTGATAGCCAACGATACGAGGAGACCAGCTCTGAGTGGGACAAATCGACCTGGAATCGGCGATACATCGCCGATTGATCGGTGATAGGTTTAAGTCGAGCGCGTCCCCCTTACAGAGGGGATTGTCGACGAAACATAAAAAAAATACCCTAAACATGATCAAACAATTCTCCCAAAATAGTCTAGGGACTATGTTACCGAACAGCTTGTGCTGATAGGTTTCTAATAGGGTCAAAAGAGGGCATCATGACACTCCAGGGGGGTCCGGCCGGAAGCCGGCAGAAACCGGGATAATCCGGCGGAGCTCATTCCGTGCGTGCAGGTACGCACGGGAGCCACCTCGGCGCCATCGGAGGTGCGCTCCGTGCGCGCAGGCACGCACGGGAACCACCTCGGCGCCGTCGGAGGTGCGTTCCGTGCGTGCAGGTACGCACGGGAGCCACCTCGGCGCCATCGGAGGTGCGTTCCGTGCGTGCAGGTACGCGCGGGAACCACCTCGGCGCCATCGGAGAAGCGTTCCGTGCGCGCAGGTACGCACGGGAGCCACCTCGGCGCCATCGGAGGTGAGTTCCGTGGGTGCAGGTACGCACGGGAGCCACCTCGGCGCCATCGGAGGTGAGTTCCGTGGGGTGCAGGGCACGGAGCCACCTCGGCGCATCGGAGGTGAGGCTGAGGCTGAGGCAGGCTGAGGCTTGATGAGGCTGATGCTGAGGGCTGAGGCTGATGCGCAGGAGTATGCGGGAGCGCAGCAGGCTGAGGCTGAGGCAGGCTGAGGCTGAGGCTGAGGCTGAGGCAGGCTGAGGCCGAAGGGGTATGCGGGAGCGCAGCAGGCTGAGACTGACGCAGGCTGAGGCTGAGACTGAGGCTGTTGCAGGCTGAGGCTGAGGCAGGCTGAGCTGACTTGTCCTGTGGAGCTCCAGTGTCGCAGAAGCTGCATCTGTAGCTTCCTCGTCGCATTGCGGGCTCCAGCGTCACCGAATTTGTCTTTTTACCGTCGCTGTCGTGCCGCGGGGCGCTTCAGCGGGCAATCGTGCGCATGAAGTACGCCACGCGCCTGCGCGCTCGCGAAGAGGGCCAGGGCGCCCTGTCGCCCGCGGGCGACCGCGCGGGCTTGCCCCCGCAACAGCCAAAAAGGGCATGCCCACACGCCGGGTAAAGCCTAAAAGGGCTTTCGTCTGCCTGTTCCTTGCCTCCCGCTCTCCTCCTTCTTCTTTCATCGACGTCAGAACCCCCGCCCCCTATGACGCTCCCCGCTGGCTTGGGTGGTCTACTCAGGTCGCGGGGGGGGATAGGGGGGGGGTCGTTGCCACGGCTGGTGCCTCGTTTCACGACGGGGAGGGGGGGTGCACCGTTCCCTCGGATGGGCACATCCCCCCCTCCAGGGGCCTCCGAGCCCTCCCTCTCCGTCCTTTCCTTCTCCTCTCCTCCTCGGACTTCAACGCCTTTGGCGTCTCCGACGACCCCCTTGGGGAATTTAGTAGTAGTAGTAGTAGTAGTAGTAGTAGTAGTAGTAGTAGTAGTAGTAGTAGTAGTAGTAGGAGGAGGAGGAGGAGTAGTAGTAGTAGTAGTAGTAGTAGTCAGTGGTAGTAGTAGTAGTAGTAGTAGTAGTAGTAGTAGTAGTAGTAGTAGTAGTAGTAGTAGTAGTAGTAGTAGTAGTAGTAGTAGTAGTACAGTAGTAGTAGTTGTAGTAGTAGTAGTAGTAGTAGTAGTAGTAGTAGTAGTAGTAGTAGTAGTAGTAGTAGTAGTAGTAGTAGTAGTAGCAGACACGTCCACTATTGATCGCAGCGTTTCGCTTCCAGTCAAATCCGAACATGAATCTACATAATAATGCTTCTATATATGCTCATACACATGGCTGTTAGGTTGCTTTGCTGGGATAATTTTGATTGTTTGTTTGACTTGTTAAGGGTATTTTGGGGGTATCTATATTTTTCTTCGAAAATCCCTATATATGGGGGACACGCCCGACATGATGATAGGTCCCCGATCGAGAATCCGAACGTTCCTGGGCGGGGTAGGCTTTCCGGCCCCTCGCGGCGATCCATAGGCGATCGGGGGCCGATGCGCCCCCCCCCCCCAAGCCATCCTGCTGCTCCAAATGCTTCGATGCGCGGGCCCTAGAAGCCTGGAGCACTTCCCCGGGGCGGGCCTCTCTTCCTGCATCATCTGCCTGACGGCCCCGAGGGCCAGAGAGGGCCCCCGGAGGCCAAGAACGGCCGAAACCCTGCCGCTCTCCTCCTCCTGTCAGTCCGCGGCGCTCCAGCGTCTCGTTTCGTTTTTTGGCTCGGAGGGGCGAGGGAGGGGTGGGGAGGACGGGCAAGGAGGAGCAGGAGGAGGAGGAGGAGGAGGAGGAGGAGGAGGACGAGGACGAGGACGAGGCGGAGCGGTAGGTCTCCGGGTCCTCGTGCGTGCGGCCACGTCTGCGCGGCCTCTCTCTCTGCAGCGGCCCGCGCGCAGAGGGCAGGGGCACACCGCAGCGCCAGGCCCACAGCGGCGCCCGCGGTCGGCATCCCCCTCTGCTGCCACCCGCCCGCCCGCGGTCGGCATCCCCCCTGCTGCCCCCCGCAGCCCAGAGGAGACGACGGGCGCGGGCTGCTCCTCTGCCCCCCTCCTTTCCTCCTCCTCCTCCCTTCCTCCTCCCTCCTCCTCCTCCTCCTCCCTCCTCCTCCTCCATTCCTCCTCCTCCATTCCTCCTCCTCCTCCATTTCCTCCATCCTCCATTCTCCATTCCTCCATTCCTCCATTCTCCATTCCTCCATCCTCCTCCTCCTCCACCTCCTCCTCCTCCTCCTCCTCCCTCCTCCTCCTCCTCCTCCTCCTCCTCCTCCCCCTCACGTTGCCCATGATGGAGTCGCAATGTATATCAGGGATGCGTGGCAAGAACGCAGGACCCTTGGAGGCCGAAGTCGGGATCTTTTTCAGGCGGCGGGCGACCAGTGAAAACGGCAAAGGCCGGGCCGCAGAGGCAACGACACCTGGGTGCCCTGGATGAAGGCGCGCGCCCTTACTAGACGTGTTGACTGTAGGCTTGCTTCCTGGCGACGTCCCCGTGGCCGCCCCCCCCCCCAGCCCGGGGCGGCGGCAGGGGGTCCTGTCGCGGCTGCCGCCAGGCCTCGCGCCCCGCGGCGCGGCGCCTCCAAGGCCTGGACTCCAGGGCGGGGCCCCCGCGGTGCCCCCCCCGCGATGGGGCGAGATCGCAGACGGACGGTCCAGGTCCCAACCGGACGGTCCAAATCCCGACCGGTGAGCAAATCGGAACAATCCAGATCCCAACCGCGGGGCAGAGCTATGTAATGCAATGCTCTTGCACGAGCGTCTTGGCGATGAAGACCGAACGGTTTCCCTTGAAGGAGCTCGCCCGGCTTTCACCGCGCGCAGCTAGGATCTAGATCGCTTGACTGCGCTATCATACGCGGGCTCTGAAAACTCCAAAAGGACTTCCGATATGCTCAAGGCACTCCAAGGCGCAGTGTACACGAACGTTTCTGGAGCATGTATCAAACATATACGATACATATGGGACGCGTATCCGAAAGTTCGCTGAAATGCATACGACACGTCTGTGGGACGTTTCAGAAATTCATACGAAGCCACGCCGAACGTGCATGAACCGTATACGCAACGTCAATGACACGTCTATGATATTACTACCCCTCAGGAATTCCCCCAAATCCTACAGGAATCGTTCAGGAATCCTCAGGAATCCTGAAGAGAATCCTGAGGAATCGGGAATACGTTGATAGCCTGGCAGGAATCCTCGGGAAACACACAGGAACCCCTCAGAAACCGAACACGAACGCACAAGAATTTCTGAAGTCCGGAGGAACCCGTAAGGAATTCCTAGGACCCCCATCAGGAATCCTCAGGAATCCTTCAGGAAACTTCAGGAATCGTTCAGGAATACCATAGGAATCCGCAACAGGCAACCGATAATCCTGACGAATCTAATAGAACGCCGATCGGAATTCCTGAGGAGCCCGCTAGGAGTCCAACGGAATTCCCCGAAATCCCACAGGACCCCCAGAATCCTCAGGAATCTTTCAGAAATCGTAAATAATCCCTCCGGAATCTTCAGGAATCCCGGAGGAATCCATCAGGAACCCTACGGAATCCTTCAGCAATCGTCAGGATCCCTCAGGGGACCTTACAAACGATATTCTCAAGATACCATCAGGGTTCCTCGGCAATTCCGCAGGGAGCCTCAGAGGAATCCACGAGAATCCTGCACGAAGCCGAGGAGGGGCGCCTATGAAACGCCTACCACGCGCCGATGTAGCGCCTCCCATGCGTTTCAAGCGCTTGGAAACTCAAATAAAAAATGGTTGAGATCTGGACCGTTCCGGCTGCATTACCTTCTGGGATCTGGACCGTCTAGTTGGGATCTGGACCGCCACGTTGGGATCTGGATCTTCCTCTGCCCCACCCCACCAGAGATCCGATGCTCCAGAAAAATTGGAACGGGCGGTGTTTGACTTTTTCTTTTGCCTCCTGGAGCCCTCGCCGGGTCTCGGAACCGCCAAATAAATTATCCCGGCAAAGCAACCTAACAGCGATGTGTAGGCGCATATCTGGAAGCATTCCCCTTCAGAATCAGATGAGAATCCAGTTGTAGAATTCTGCTGTTCTCGCAGTCGTAGTCGCATTCGCGATGACAGTCGCAGTGGCAACGGCAGTCGCAGTCACAGCCTCAGCCTCAGAGCCTGCCTCAGCCTCAGCCTCAGCCTGCTTCAGCCTCAGCCTCAGTCTGCCTTCAGCCTCGGCCTCAGCCTCAGCCTGCCTCAGCCTCAGCCTGCATCAGCCTCAGCCTCAGCCTGCCTCAGCCTCAGCCTGCCTCAGCCTCAGCCTCAGCCTGCCTCAGCCTCAGCCTCAGTCTGCTTCAGCCTCAGCCTCAGTCTGCCTTCAGCCTCGGCCTCAGCCTCAGCCTGCCTCAGCCTCAGCCTGCCTCGGCCGCAACATCAGCCTGCCTCAGCATTCAAAATGTGGCCCAGGAATGGAGTTCTGGGAACTAGAAGAACACGAAGTGGCCTACAGTTGGCTCCGGGCATTCAAAATGTGGCCCGGGAATGGAGTTCTGGGAACTCGAAGAGCACGAAGTGGCCTACAGTTGGCTCCGGGCATCCAAAATGTGGCCCGGGAATGGAGTTCTGGGAACTCGAAGACCACGAAGTGGCCTACAGTTGGCTCCGGGCATCCAAAATGTACGCCGGGAATGGAGATCTGGGAAGTCGAAGAGCACGAAGTGGCCTACAGTTGGCTCCGGGCATCCAAAATGTACGCCGGGAATGGAGTTCTAGCAGCGCCCAAAGCGATTTTGCGAGGATGTCCCAAGCGATTTGGGCTTCGACGGCAGCCGCGCCGGGTCCCGCCCCGGGTCCCGCCCAGACCCCCGTGAGGAGTCATGATGCTCTCTTTTGAGACCACTAGAAACCTATCAGCAAGAGCTGTTAGGTAACAACCCAGGACGAACAACCCGCCCTGGGGAAGTGGTCCAGAAGATATCCGAGGCCCACACATCTGAAACAAATTGGAGCAGCCGGCTGTCTGGGCCCCCCCCCCTCTCCCGGCCAACCCGGATTGCGATAGCACTCCAGGGCCCCCCAAAGCAGAAGAAATCGAAAACATAGACAGGGTGTGAGGCGGGGGTTTGTCCATAGCCACCGCCTGGGGGATGGATCTTCGGGGGCCTCGGCAGGCGGTGAACACTGATGTATTCGGACCCGCCAGGGCCCAGAAGTCTCCATATCCACCGCCTGCCGAGGGAGGGCCCCATTTACAAGGGAGCTCTCGGCCCGGGGCCCCCAGGATCCCAACCCTACCCAAGATCAGAATGATGGAAACGAAAAATGCTTCAACTCTCTCAAGGAAGATCAATCATATAACAGCACCTCGCACGAAAGGGCAGACGTGGTGAGGAGAGGAGGAGGCACATCTGCGATGCGGACGATGAGGACGATGATGACGAACATGACATTTTTGTCCGTGAGCGTGAGGGCGATGGTGGTCCCAGGGCCCCTGAAAGCCCACCCGAGGCCGCCCAACCGGCCGACAGGGAGGTCCGGCGGCGGGCGCAGCGGCCAACAGTGGCGATCATCGCAAAACGTAGCCACAGCACGGAACATCGAAGACTGGTGGAGGTCCGCTCGGAACTGCAGTCCGAATGGCCGCTGCAGCAACCGGCGGCGGAAGATCCCGCGGCGTGCCTGCAGCCCCCCACATCGCGCCGGGCACGCCAAGGGTCGCGCCCGGCACGGAGGGCCGCGGCAACCACCACGAGCACTGCGTTCCACGTGTTGCGCCGTCCACATCCACGGTAGGTTCGTGCGGCGTCGGCGCGCGCAAAGTTTTTTGACACCGCGTCGATCGTCGATCGCGGCCCCGATCGTTCAAAATTGAAGTCGGTCGGGTCCAGTGGCGTTAACGTGTACGTCGGTGCTTACGCGTCGTAGAAGTCAACCTTGGACGCCTTCGCCGGCGTCGCCTGCGCGCCAACGCCGCACGAACCTACCGTGCTCCTCATCCCCTTGCCACTCCCCCGACCCCCTTCCTTCGCCTCATCTGCCGCATTTTGGACACAACAACTGCAACTACGCCCTGCGCGCTCTTCACACTTGAGGGGAAGGGCTTCTCCAGGAGGGCAGTGGGCGGCTCGCGACTGCAAAACAGCCTCGCGCAGACCGTGGACATCCGTAGGCAGCATTCCCGACCGAACCACGCGGCCCTAAAGGTGCGGATGCACGATAACATGTGCACACGGCAGGAATATGGATACAGCGCCCAGCCTGGAAAAGGGCTTCTCCACGAGTGGAGAGGGCGGCTCGCGACTGCACATAAGCCTCGCGCAGGCCGTGGACAGCATGCCCAACCGAACCACGCGGCCCAAGAAGTAGGAGGAAAGAAAACAAACGTACGACACACAAACATATGTACACACAGACACACTGACATACACACCCACGCACACACCAACATACAGACGCACACACACACACACACACACGTAGCACCCCGCAGTTGCGGATAAGAGTGAAGACAGTGAAGGGGCGGCGGGGTCGTCGGCAGTCTGCGAAGCTCCGAAGAAGCCCGCCGCCAGCGGCTAATTTTTACAAATTATACAACGAACTCGCCGCAAGCACCGACTGTTTCGCTACAGCAATGTGGATGGGTCGCGGGGTGGGTCGCGGGCGGTCGCGGGTGGGTCGCGGTTGGGTCGCGGGTCGGTCGCGGGCCTGGTCGCGGGTGGGTCGCGGGTGTGTCACGGGTGGGTCGCGGGTTGGTCGCGGGTGGGTCGCGGGCGGGTCGCGGGTGGGTCGCGGGTTGGTCGCGGGTGGGTCGCGGGCGGGTCGCGGGTGGGTCGCGGGGTGGGTCGCGGGTGGGTCGCGGGCCGGGTCGCGAGGTGGACGACGACAACAAACAACACAATACAACAACAACAACAACAACAACAACAACAACAACAACAACAACAATCAAACCAATCCGCACCGCAGCACCTGATTTCAGCCACGCGCCCAGGGAGAGAGAGAGAGAGAGAGAGAGACCGTTCGGCCACCTCACTCTGATTTTTACTGGCCTTAATTCCTCCGTCTTGCAGGGTCGCCCAGGGAGAATTGTTCGCCGAAGGAAACAACACCCGAAAATTACTCAACACGGCGAACAATGATGGGAAACGAATTGACAGGCATCGACGCGGGCGCCGACGCTGAAGATGCGCGTGCGTTTTGCGAATGTATATAAGCGCGCGGTGCACTCCTCGTACAAACTCGACGACATGAAGGAGGGGGTGGCAAGCGACGCCCTCGGCGAAGACCATGTCGATCTAGATTGCCACCCTCGTACAAACGTGCTCGAAATTCCTCTGTCGTGCAGGGCTGCCCAGAAAGCATTATTCATTTGGGAGAAGGACCCCCCCGACAGCATTCTGCCCACCCGACAAAAGAGGGAAAATCTTCGACGGGCCGCGCCGCTGGCGCTGGCGCTGAAGATGTTTACGCGCTTTTTTTCACGTAGCCCAGGGGGCATTACTCGCCGAATGGCACAAAACAACACTATCCAACACGGCGAACAATCGCGGGAAACTAATCGGCGGGCCGCATCGCGGGTGCCGAAGCTGAGGATGCGCATATGCGTACACAGCCGCGCGGTG